CAAAATCATACCAATCAGACCGTCACCATTCTCCTGAAAGGCCTTCCCACTGGACCCTTTAAATGTTACCTGGTATTTTTAATGAAATCTTTGTCATTCATACTCAACTATATGAGTGTTTTTGATTTTGGTATGTGTGTGCGCCCTGTGCTAGACTGTATGTTCACATACTGTGTGCTTTGAGCTCTGAAAAAGCTTGATGTCCAGACTTACACCAGACTGATGTTTGCCACTGGAAGTGAAGATGTCTCTTCTAGTTTCTCATAGAACTTCAAAATCCAGCGAGAAAAAGTGCCATTAGGAAACATCAATAAATGAAAATGGGTTGTAATGCATCATTCGCTGTCCACAGCTATCCATCTGAATGCCACTATAAGGTTTTTCGGAATATAGTTATATAATAGTCTTTGTTATTATGTTTTTCGGGAATGCATTCCAGGACATTATGCGTATAATAAAGCTATGATTTAAGATAAGGAATATTTCTGATTGTACTGAATTTATATTTTCAAGTTATGTTTACATTATTTGTGTGGATGCTGTGGAAAGTCTACCAGCTGATCAGTGTTTTTCAGATTGGAAATACACATTAATTTTACATAGCCTCAGAGGATGTGGTGGCCATAAGCAGCTCCAAAAGACACTTAACACAAACAAACACACACATACACAAACAGTGTGTTGCTCATTATCGGCTCCTGTTGGATGTCTACCTCTCTGGCAAAGAAAGTTTTCTACACCTGCCTTCATTAGCGTCAAATGATGACACATCACTGCGATCAAAGGTAAAAACATCATCTCCAACATAACGCAGATTCAAAACATTACGCTATCATTGCCTAGGAACCGAATGATTCACTCAATGTAAACAGACTCCTTGTTTGAATGAGATCACGAGACTGTCAAAACACATGATGCAATCATTGCTTCAAAGGGGTGTTCATACAAATCACAAAATCTAAACATACATATCATTGCTTAACTTATCATATGAAACACGTTTTGAGCATTTAAAATACGAAAGAAGATCTAAATGGAATGAAAACATTCACTGTATTGAAACTTTTGACTGGTAGTATTAGTATGAACTCTACAGTACCTGCAACTACATCTCACACTCATACTGTCCATCTCGTGATGGTTTCCACGCCATGCAAGTAGTGTTGTCACATTACCAAAAATTATTGCTTCGATACCCCATACCAAGTCAAGAATTGCGATTTCGGGATGAATTTCTTAAATGGAAAATATTTGGAAATATTTAAAATATGATGGTGATAAATTTGTCACAACAGAGGACCCAAATAGTTTATGTGTGATAGCAACAATAATTTGTGACTAACTTAGCATCTCTATATGCAGTGGTTATAGTGATAACTGCTAACATTTACTCAACCATAACATTACCATAATTAATAATAGGAAATACTTAGTTAACCCTAATGTTATTTTTAAGCTGTGATTTATGGATTAATATAGGCCAATGCTCCTGTACTTCAACGCCTGATTTCTTGATGGTTAACTTTATATTTGAGTCCATCCTTTCTTTTCATGGCGTTTCACAAATACCCTCCTTTTGCGTAGGTCCCTGCTCTTAAATGCTGTAATAACCTCATATAAATAAATCACTGTCAAACATGCACATGCTCTGATTATAATCATATAGTCTATAGCCCATTTTAGCTGATGTTTGGGTGCTTTATTTTAGCAGCTTGCAAATGATTTGAACGCTACCTGTGAAGGTTATGCGTTTTCAGATGTTGAATTAAAGCCGTAGGCAGGCTGTTGGTTAGCCATGAAGATAATGCCCATAGTTACCCTTTAGATAGCCTCGCCAACCACTACGGTGGTGCCAAAGAGTGACTTCTGCTGTACAGCCAAACCATAGTCTACTAATTTTACTTATTTAAGGGCATGAACGTGGTCGTGTTATCTTTCTCATACTAACCTGTCGCCCATATAAACCCTCCTACAACCTCGGCGTGCTTGTCAGCCAAGTGTTTCTCCAGGTTCGAGGTGTTGGCTCCCTTTGTTTGCATTTGTTTGTGAACGTTAGCACTGACGACAAACAGGTCCCCAACCTATCGGTAGCTTTGCCCTCACTCTCAAAGGTAAACAAAGTACTTCCATATTTCACTGCGTCATCTTTTTTTCTACCAGTCGTGGACCTGCCAGCCATGCCAGTATCACTTGTGCTCGCACACGCAGCCATCTCGTTACAGTGTTTGTCAGATGACAGCTGCAGCTTCTTTGCTGCGTGCGTGAGGAGAAAAACACAGACGTCCACAGGGAGGCACTGGAAGCATTCGTAGCACACACCAACATGAAGTACGACTTTACTAATCTGAACGCGGTCATTCCCTAAAAGTATCGACACTAATAAATTTAGGAATCGTGGCGTTTTTAATTTCCTGAGAATTCGCGGTACTTTTGAAGTCATCGGTGCACCATGCTACACTACCAGCAAGTCCGCTCAATTACATCTAAGTGATCTTTCAACATACTGTGTGTGCGGTTCCCTTTAGATAGTTGACTTGCACCCAAAGTCACTCGGTTCTGTGTATGTGTACCTGTAATGAGGTCAAACAAAAAATTCTTGATGGTTGGTAGTGTAACCTTTGCCCTGAAGACATGCAAGACCTCCATCTATCTGAAATCCATCTTCCATTCTTGTCAAAATTTAGGAGACTACAAGGGTGAGAGACATTTGTAACACTGCAACAGGCTTCAAATCACAAATGTAGGCTCCTGTTTGAGAGGAAAAGTGGTGGACATCCATTTTTCAGTCAAATGGCCATCTGAGGTTATCTGCACATACTAAAAGTCCTGAAACCTTCAGCCATGTTTGCATGATGACTGATGCTTCCTTCAGGATCAATGGTGATGATTAGGGAACTATCAAGAGGACAGCTGTATTTGTAGAGGTCCAGATTGTGAACCCTGAATTTTAACCCTGCTGTCATTTGCTAAGAAGTGTGCATCCTGCCTACTCCTCTGGGAAAAAGGCTATTATAGAGGATACGAAATCCAGAGGCCAACTTCTTCCCTTTGTAGATGAAGTATTAAAATGCTAGTTTTGTCTAGTTAAATGTGATGTTGTACTGGAAGTGTGAATATAGAAAAGGCAAGTTTAGCTTCAAAAGAGCAAGTTTGTATTGACCTGTTTAGGTTTTATGTTTTCTCTTTATGTTCATATTGTACACGGCAGAAAGCTGTGTCTGCTCAATATGAAGTTTCATACTAACTGCAGTTCAATTGCTCCTGACAAAAGCTATGAAAAAGCAAGTCCATGTTGACCTGTGATTAAATAGGTTTTATATTCATGCAGTTTGTTTTTGTGAAGTTGTATTGTTTAACAGTAAGTATGGTCTGCTGATTTCCAAACTGCATTTTTATTGTATGACACTATACTATAGGAATATCTTAACCATTTACCACCACACAATGTAATATTTGTACTTGACTGACTTTGTTTTTCTGCCACTGAACAGAAATAGAACCTTTGCATCTCAATAGATCTACATTTTTTCAAGGTGTTACCCACCACTTAAAAATAGTCTGTTCATAGCAGTAGTTGTGTGCTATAATGGATTTACTAAGTGAGAACAGGTGGCAACTTTGGAATAGGGAACATGCATGGAATAAAAAGTTTCAAACTATAAGTGAATTGGTTGTGAGTGCCAGCTCACTTTAGAATAGGGAACATATTCTGAGTTCAAAGACTTACTTAGAGTTATTTGGACACTATTGAACACTTATAGGTGTGTTGTCTTATGCAAGAATAAGCCCTCTCAGTGGCTGCAGGCTGGTGGTGGTGCTGGTGACGTGGGTGGTGGTGTCCCTCCTTCCTGTGTGCTGGGCTTCCTGATTTGGTGATGCCACAGTGTGTGACTGCCACGTGTGTCTGGGTGAACCCTTTTCTTTAAATTTAATTTTGTTGAGTCCCCTTCCCCTTCACCTGTTCTTTCCCACCAGTAGGCCTCAGCCCCTGATTAGGCTCCTTTTCATTTATTGGGATGAATGCTATTTTTTATAATGATATATATTTATTAAATAAAGTATTTTTTGCAAACTGGGAACCACGTGTCTTGCCTGTCGTGTGGAACGAACCCGAGCCTTTGGTCAGTGTAAAACAATCCTTGGGTGCAATTCCCAAGGTGGCGCTTGTCGGGCAAACCTAAGATTCCCATTGAGAGCTCCGCATTTTGTTCTCAGACCCCGCCACAC